TCCCCCCCCAGCCCCCAACACCCTCTCCGTGGACCTTGGCTGGGGCAGGGACAGGGGGACCCACTGCCAGGGCACCAGGCTGGCATCCACCCTGGCGAGGGGTGGGCAGGGGCATGGCCCCCCCACGGGTGTCAGGGTCCTGCCCGTGGAGTGCCTGGCACAGGGCAGGCGGCGCTGGCAGGTGGGTGCAACCACAGGCACACGTGTGTGCATGCACACATGGGTGCCCTCTCAGCCCCATGCCCACGCCTGCCACATGTACATGGCTCACACCTACACACGCATCCCTATAGCCATGCACATGCTGCCTGCACACGCGTGCACATGCACACATGCATGCACACATGCATGCACAGGCATATGCATCCCCCACCCGGCACAGTGGGGTGATGCTCCGCCACCCCCCCAACCCCCTGCCCCCCCCCCCCATCCAATGTGGGGTGCTGTGCTCTGTGCCCACAGCACCACCCACTGCGGGGTGGCATGGGGCAAGAGGGTGCTGGGGAGGCTGGGGGTCACCCTGAGCAAGCACTGCTGCTGGGTCCCCCATGCCCCCCAGCTGCTCGCGGGCACCCCACGGTCCAACACACACACACCCCCCCCCCGGGAGCTAGGAGGGTGCAGGGAGGCCCAGGCTCCCGCTCAGCATCACTTCCTACTTTCGCTTTGGTGCCGAGCAAGGCCTGGCCTGGGGGAGGCGGGTGACCCCCAGGCCCCCCGGGTGGCACAGGTAGGGGAGGCGGGTGCTGCAAGGGGGGGCGAGGCAAAGGGGCAGGATGTGGGGGCAGCTGGGCATCGCTGGGGGTATCTATCAAGCCGGATGGTGGTGGGGAGCGGTTTGGCAGTGGGTGCCCATTCCTGGCACTGGGAGGGTGAGCTGGCATCACCCCCAGCCCCCCCCAAGGAATTTAGTCCCCACCCCAGAAGGAGCCCACAGGACAGGGCTGGCACAGCAAAGGGGGACAGGCACGGTGGCTGAGGGGCACCGCTGGGCTCCGGGCCCCCCAAGCACAGATAGCAATGGGGGCCCTTGCCCAGGGTGCCCCAGGAAGAGTTTGCACCCCAGCTCTGGGCATAGTCCCGGGGGAGGGGGGGCAGACGGGCTGTGGGCTTTTCTGGGGTGGGCTGCAGCTCCTGGGGGTGGGTCTCTGTGCCCAGGGGCTGTTGCGCGTGGGAGAGGGGTGTCTGTGCCAGGGGCAGCTGCTGCCCCAGGGGTGCTGTTGGCTGCTGCTAGCTGGGTATCGGTCCCAGACCCCCTCCCCAAAAACTGCAGGGGGGTCTCTCAAAGCATTCCCAAGCTCCATTCCCATGGGAGGGCATCAGGGTCCCCCCCATGCCTGGCACTGTGCTTCCCCCCCACCCTCCCCAGGGGCTGCACAGGGGGACGAGCCTCGCTGACCCCTTCCCCAAAACTGGCACTCCCCCAAACTGGGGAGCCGGGTGCTGGGGGAGCAAGCTGCAGTGCCTGATGTTATGCGGGGCAGGCAGGGGGTGGCTCCTGCAGCCCCCCCAACCTCCCACACTTCCTCCTGGCCAAGGTACAAAAGGAGAAGCAGGCAGGCGCAGTGCGGGCAAGGGGACACACCAGCATCGCCCTGGCACCCAGCGATCTCCTTGGGGCACCCCACAGCTCCCCGTCACAGGTAAGGTGCTTCTCTTCCTTGGGGAAACTGAGGCACGGGCAGGGTGGGCAGGCGGGAAGATGGCTCATCCAAGGTCACCCAAGGGCACCGGGAGGGGAACCCAGGCATCTGGAGTCCCGTGTCCTGCTCTGCCTGCCGAGCCACTCTGCCATGGCAGGGGGCACAGGGCACTCAGGTGTGCTTCGGCATGGCTGAACACGCTTGTGCACACACGCTCCTGTGAGAGCACATGCAGACTGCCATGCATATCCCATGCACACACATGTGTGCTCCCCCAGCCCTGTGCCTAGCCACCAGCTGCGGTGACAAGCCCTGGACCTGCCACCTTCGTGGGCACTGTCCCTTGCCCCATCCCCAGGGTGCCACCCGCTGCCCCCCAAAACCACCCCACTGCACTATGCCCCCAGCCCCCCACCCCATGCCCACAACACCCCCAAAACCCATGCCAGCCCCACAGGCAGCATACTGTGCCAGGGGGCTTTGCCTGGGGGGGATCTCAGTTTGAGGGGGGCTGCATACCAGGGGCTGTGTGCCCACCTTCCCTGCCCCCTCCAGGAGCACCCCACACTGTTCATGGTGTGAGCGAGGGAAACGAGAGCAGAAGCAAAGGCAGCGCTTCCCCAGCACCAAACCCACATCCTGAATCCTGGGGGATGGGAACAAGGACAAGGACAAGGACAGGGACACACGGGGGGGGGGGGGGCTCAGCTGCAGGATGCCCCCCAAGGAATGAGGGCAGAGGCTGGGCACAACATGGGAACAGAGCCAGGGGGCATTTTGGGACAGGGCACATGGACAACTAAGGGGTATGGGATGGGGCACCTTTGCCCACCCCATACCCCCTACTCCATATAGTGGAGGGATATGGGCAGGGAAAGGGGGTGCTTGAGCCCACCCCCTCTCACCTTAACAGCAGGCAGCTCTGGGGTGGAGCTGGAGGGGGCAGACCCTCTCCTTGGGGCAGAGAGTTTGGGGGTGCCAGCTGAGTGCCAGCCTGGCACCTCTCATCGCTGCCCCTGCCTTTGCAGACTCCCGGGTACAGCCATGGCAGGGGACGGGGAGCTCAACCGCATCATCAAGGACCTGCAGAGTAAGTGCACCAGCCTGTCCCCTGCCAGCGTGTCCCTTGCATGGCACATCTCACCCTGGCCATGCCGGGTCCCTCCTCGCACCCAGCCCGTGGGCAGCAGGGGGGTGCACTGCTGGGAGTGCTCCAGAGCATCCCAGTGCCAACTCTGCCACTGCTGCCTGCTCCTGTCCTTGCCGCCTGCTCCTGTCCTCGCTGCCAGCCCCAGGTGACCGGCAGTGCCTGGCAGATACCTGTGCCCCTCGCTCCCCCTGCTCCCCCATTTCATCCCAGGGAAGGTTCCTCTTTCACCCACTGGCAGAAATCCCCGGGCTGGGAGGCAGTGGGGAGGAGGGGTGGGATGGGGCAGGGTGCCTGCTGCCAGGGCAGGGCCGTGCCAGCTCAGCCCTACCATCCCTCAGAGACCGTAGGCGAGCTGAACCGCGGCTACCGGGAGCAGAACTTGCCGGTGACGGACGGGAGCCGGGAGCTGCACAGCCTCTGTGCCCAGCTGGAGTTCCTCCTCCAGGTATCACAGCTTCTCTGTCCTCACCGCTCCCTGCCTCAGTTTCCCCTGGGGTGCAGCTCCAAGCAGAGGGGATCCTGCACCAGCCGTTTTGGGGGGGTGGGATGACCTCAGCCAGCATTGTCCAGCCCTGGGCATCCCCAGCCATGCAGGCACCCAGACCAGGCTCACCCACATCCACATGTGTAATTGCACGTGCTGCAAAAGGGAAACTGAGGCATGGAGCCAACAAAGAGGGGACAGTCAGGGGACACTGGGACCCACACTGCTGGGTGAGCTGGCTGGATCCCAGCCCCACAGGGGACAGGCGGGGGTGACAGGGGACACCCCCAAACAAGCAAGTCCAAGTTTGCGTCTCTGCCAGTTCGACCTCAAGGAGAGGAGGAGCTTCTTTGGGCAGCGCAAGGACTATTGGGACTTCTTGTGCCAAGGCCTGGCGCAGCGTCGGCAAGAGCACGAGGGCATTCGCTTTGTCACCTCCCTGGACAAGGTGGGCACAGGCTGGCATGGAGCCTGGGGGCTCACGCACGCACACGTGTGCACGCTTCTGCTTGTTTGTGGGTGCACACACACTTGTATATGGGCACACACTCACCTGGGCACCGAGGATTCACCCACCAGCACTATAAAGGGTTTTCTCCCCTCTGGGGTCCCCACTGCCCCCCAACCCTGGCCCTGGGAACCCCCTTCCCCCATGCATGGGCTGGGGGGGAGGCATGGGGGGGGCAGACTGGCATGGCAGGCCTGGATAACCCCCTCTCCCCCCAGCTGAAGACCCCCGTGGGCAGGGGCCGAGCCTTCCTGCGGTACTGCCTGGTGCACCGGCAGCTGGCAGAGTCCCTGCAGCTCTGCCTCCTCGACCCTGAGACCCTCTGGTGAGAGCAGGGTGCACAGGGAGGGGGTGCTCATGGTGGCAGGGGGCATTGCCTGGGTGGCCAGTGCCTGGCAGCACCCAGTCGGCCAGGGTGCTGCAGGCACGTGTGCCCGCCCAGGGTGCGGAGGGGTGCGTGAACCCATTTTGTGGTTGCAGCGAGTGGTACTACGCTCGCAGCCCCTTCCTGAGCCCCCAGCGCCGGGCAGAGATCCTGGGCATCCTCTACGAGCTGGACGGTGTCACCTTCCACCTGGCCCTGCACAGAGCTGACCTGGACACGGCCTGGCCCATGTTCTCGGAGTGAGCCTGGGGATGCAGGGGGCCCTGGGGGCATTGGGGGCACTGGCAGTTCCACAGCCATCAGGGGTATCAGGGGGCACCAGGGGCTCAGCATGGCAGAGCAGCACACAGGCATTGCCCCACTGCCCCGGACCCCACATGGCATCCCAGCTGTGCCAACCCTCCACGCATGGCCCCAGGCGGGCACAGATACCTGTGCCAGCATGCACACCATGTCCATGCCTGCAAACATGCCACACGTGCATGCACACACACACCGTCGTCCTCTGCCAAGTACATGCCCAGGCACAGGTCTGCTGCAACACTGTGACATCTGAGAGGAGGGGGTATCGTGTGTGCGTGCACACCCTTGCCTCCGGGCACACCTGCAGGGGCGTCTGCACTTGTGGACAAAGTCGCTCCTCCAGCACACTCACGCCTGTTCTGCAGCTCGCGTGCTCGTGGGCACACACTGCCACAAGCACACATGCAGCACCCAGTTCCCCCCTGCAACCACCACAGGGGTCTCTGGGTCCCACCTGCTCCATGGGTACCCAGGCTGGTGGCACCAGCATCCCTGGTCCCCTGTCACCAGGTGCCACCCAGTGTGACCAGCCCTGCTGCCCTCTCCAATCCCAAAGGCTGGCTGTGCCCAGGGAGCCCTGAGGGAGGGTGGCGGTGCCTTGCTCACCCTAGGGGTGACGTGGTGGCCCTGAGCCCCGTGTCCCCTCTAGGACACTGGTACGACCCAGCCCAATGGCCAGGAGCAGCCCGGCAAAGATGGCCCCACAGAGAGACGATACTGGCACCGGGGTGCATGGATGGCCCGATGGCATCACCCATCCCATCGTGGCACCCCATGGGGTGCCAACCCACCCGTGCCCACCCACCTTGGCTGCCCTGCATGAGAGGGGTGTAGAGGTGAAGGATGTGGAGGGGGATGTGGAGGACGTGGAGCTGAAGAAAAATGTGGAAGAAGAGGATGAAGAGGAGGTAGAGAAGGATGAGGACGAGGAGGATGAGGAGGAGGTGGAGAACGTGGAAGTGGACGTGGAGGACGTGGAGGGGGAGGATGTGGAAGAGGAGGATGAAGAGGAGCTGGAGGATGAGAAGGAGACGGAGGATGTGGATGTAGAGGAGCTGGAGGACACACATGGCACTGGCAAAGCACCCCAGCCCGATGGTGACGGGGAGCCTGGCACGTTCCCACTGCCCGGCATGGGGTTTCTGCCGGGCTCCCCGCCACTGGCGCCGGGGGAGCTGGACGGGACGCAGGCGTCCCTGCAGGCACTGGTGTCCCAGCTGCAGACTGAGCTGGGGCAGCGGGAGGCGGCATTGCGGGCGCTGGCGGCCCGGCTGGCACGAGAGCAGCGGCGGCACCAGCGGCGGGAGGAGGGCAGCGCCCGGTGGGCCCAGCTGCGGGCACGCGAGGCCGAGGCGCTGCGGGAAACCAACGCCTTCCTGGGGCAGGCGCTGGCGGCGGCGGTGGCAGCGGGGGGTCCGGGGGCACTGGCGCGGGCACAGGAGGAGGCGCGGG